TCTAAGAGGTGGGTACAGACATGAATCCTTATTAGCTTCTCCGTGAATTGGCATAAAATACTAGTTAATTCAACCGAGCTTATATCTGTGGGTTAGTTCTACTACCACCTTTGTGTAATGCCAACACGACGGCAGTTTTCCAGTTGCCCAAAAGCACACCCTTCTCCAGGGAGTTTTGTGATAGCACCCTCAAGAGGTCTGCTAAGATTTGGACAAGTAGTTTCCCAATGGTAGGATATATACCATCGGGACCGGGGCCCTATATATGTCCAAATCCCCAAATACCTTTTGCACCTCCACTGCAGATATCTGCATCTCTCTTACGATCTGTGGAAGAGAAGTCGGGGATCCAGGTTCTTATATCCGGTTGTCTATCCAATGAACACTAGAGAAATAGTTGCCCAGTGCTATTGCGTTGCTGTGGTCGTGTGCTCCCAACGTGCTATTTTTAAGAACCAAGGCGCCTATGGAGTACCTTAGATTACGTTTCGATTAAACGTATTTGAAAAACCTTTTCGGTTTTCGCTTGACGTTTTCCGCTTACTTTAGTTCATATTTTCGTTTTTTACTCTTATAAGACTGACTCTCCTATTCCTCTGGACTGTGTAGTTTGCCCATGCCAGCTGCATGTTGACATCTCTGTAGTGTCTCCAGCATAAGTTTCTTCACCTTAGTTCTCCCCTTATTGCCGGAGACCACCATGAAGGCTTACTATGACCTTTCACAAATTTAAGGGATGCAAAATGGTCTTAGGATTCCTGAAGGTTACTTTGATTCTATGCCAGAGAGCCTCTACTTTGATTGAATCACTTTCTGCCTCCCATTCTAGAGTTAGGAATCTTGCCTGTGGGCTACTCGCGTCCATTATGCTGAAGTTCCAAACTTTCTGGCTAAGCGCTTTGGACTTCCTGGAATTAAGGATCACCTTTATCGCCAAATGATTGCTCGTTCCCATAGGTGGTTGAAGCGAGAGGTCTTATACGTCCCGTTCGTATTTAGTAAGGCCCAAATCCAGGAGCGATGGGGTTTGCGCAGTCCTGAATCTTGTGTTTTCCCTCACGTGTTGCAGGAGGGCTTTGGATTGTGTCCATCCCAGAAACATTTCCTCTGGTATACCCCGTGGTCCACTGGATGCCAGGCAGTTTGAATTCCCCAGTAATTACCAGTTTCGTTTGGGACTGTGCTAAGGCATCCAGCGCCCTGAATAGTTGCTCATCTTCCACGATGGCTCCCGGATTCCTGTACATACTAGCTATGGTGGCGCTGTTTGCCGTAGAAAGGAGTTAGGTGGAACACATCTATATATTGAGGGTGCAGACTGCTATGTTCGATTTCCTGTAGGGGGTTTCTTTGAATGAGAAGCGCTACTCCTTTACCTTGCACTTGCCCCCTCGATCCGGTCTGTGGATCTCAAAGCTGTTTGCAATGGTCTGTGGTACGTGGTCGCTTTCACTTAACCATGTTTCAGAGACCATAATCACTGCAGCTTTGAGTTCCTCAGATGTCTCTGCTCACTTTTTCTGGATGCGGCACGTATTGCGCATAACATAACTAACTCTTCCGGAAGTAGGCATTTGAAGCCCCCTACTGTTTCTTTGGTCTCGGGCGCATCACTCGATCTGTGACTTCGTTTTTAAATGGGTCTGTTTCGGTCGTCGTTCCATGTCTCCTACTTTCGGAGTCCGAATGTTTTACCATGGACGTTCTCCGCAGTGGTGTCGACGTTTGAACAATCATCTGTTCATTCTCACTTACCGACCTGCTCGGAAAGCAAGTCTTCCATTCCTCTTCCTCCATTATATCATTTATATTCACCACCGCGTTTCTGCAGGGAGTGCTTGTTGGCTGCTGCGTACAATGGTTACTGGCCCCTACCTTGGATCCCTTATACCCTACTTCCCCATGTGGTCTTGGGTTGTCCGGAACTATGCCGTGGCGCCCTTTTGTGCGCTCAATTGCGAGGGATTCTTTTGATAAGAGCATGTTCCTTGGTCCCCCCTCTCCGAATTCCACTAGTATTGATCGGGCTGTATGCGCTGCATTCGAGTTCGACTGCTTCCAAACACCTACTCTGTGTATCCTTTTTATGTGGAATTTTGGATGTAGGCCTACCAATCGAAGGATATCAATCACTCGGCGTCGGTCCAGTTCGTGCCGGGTTTTAGACTCCCTGATAACTGTTCCTTTTTGTTGTGGACCAGTAACGTGTTGCACCTAGATGTTTTATTTTCCCTAACAGATTTGATCGAGGCTACCTTTGCACCCAATTTGGGTAGTTCACTGTCAATGTAGTTCAGGCTGGTACTCCAAATACCCTGAACTTCCTTGGCGATGCACGGATTTACTGTTTTTGACCTAGGTATTACATTTTTAGTATTTTATTGCATTTGGAAAGTTGATGGAGCTGTTTTCTCCACCACATTGGCATAGGTTTTGGTTGTGAACCTGCAGCCATCACTTCTCCACTATCCACTTGTTTTCTCTCGGCCGGCCATGGTGACTTTCCCGGGACGGCACCTTGGGCTTTATGGTGGCATGACACCGCTTTGTAACTGTTGCACACCCACTCTAGTCCACTGTGTTTACAGTACAAAGCGTAGATCTCCGAAGGGACCCCTGTGCACTTTTGGTGAGCCCACTCTTCACATATGTCGCACCTGATACTCCTCACCACTTTTTTACTGCACGCGTCGTTCAGACACTGAAATTTGGCACTTGGCATATTTGAGAAAGATGTGCACTGTAAGGAAACTGATAAATATAGAACAACAAATTTACTGTAAGACAAAACGTAAAATGATCGTCACTAATGAATGAAAAACGGTTTACAAAAACCTAATTTTAAAAGACCTTTCAAAAAAGTTGTACCCGAAGCCAGATATTGTACTATGAAGCTTGTGGTTAAAGGGAAAAGTAGTAAACCGGACTGTATAGTTCATTTTACCGTGCTTTTTAATGGAAATAAACAGAAAGCAAATAACACGCAACCGAATTCCAACGTACAATACACAAGTCTTGTTCTGATTTGGAAAGCGTACAACNGCGTACAACAGTCTAAAATCGTCCATCGTAAGCCGACGGATAGATATCCGAATGGGTCCGAGAGTGCTCCAAGCCTTGGTACAGACCCTTTCGGTGTTTTCTCGGTTCTGCAATGGTAATGTCACAATAACTTCCAGGTATCTTTCGCACGATGTTCTGCGTAATGTGGTTCCCTGGAAGTTGTGTACCACCCCTGAATCAGGTACAGCTGAGCATACTTCACGGTGTTCATTGCAAGTGCTCAGGTGTCCAATCATTGAGCTAGGTTGCTCAGATCCGCTTGAAGAGTACTTCGATACTGCATGCCCTCGATTGTACGGAAGATTTTGATGTCATCCGCATACATCAGGGATGGACTGCGCAGCTCACCGTGCAAGTCATTGAGATAACCTATGAAGAGGAGTGGACCAAGACCAGAGTCTTGTGGGACCACGCTGGAGTCACGGTACCATGCGAATAGCGATCTGGCAACGCAGACGCGTGGAGTCTCCTGTCGTCAGGAAATTCTGCAGCCAATTCAGTATTGTTACACTTACGATAGGGCTGGAGAGATTTTTCAGAAGACCGCTGTGTGACACTTGCGGTGAGTTGGCGCCAAGTTGAAATTTTTGACGTGAGCTCTTTGAAAAGTTATTAAACATATCCGTTGTGGTATATCACTCGTTTTTGTGCATCTTTGCACATTTGTTCTACTCACTTGGTAAAAAGGAACTTAGAAATCTAAGTTTCTCGCATTAAACGCATCAAGAAACTGTTCTCTCAATCTTCCTGTTGTTCGAGAATTCTACTTTCGCTCTAAACTGCAAATTTTATCTCCATACCTTATGTCATCTACTCTGCTTCATAGCTAACGTAGCTATGAAGACTCGGATAAGAGTACTGTCCCCATGCCGCATAGTCCCCTAGACATAGATGACACTTTTAGAACGTGTCTGAACGAAACCATAATTGAAAACTCCTCATTAGCACAAGGACGAGCAGCAAAACCACAAGAGGAGAAAATAGCAGAAATGAAGGCTCATTTCTCACGGCTCGAACAACAGCTCTCAGAGCTTAAGTTGTTAATCTGGAATAGGCTACAGACAACCATAGCCGCCTCGAGAGCGATTAGGATGTCCAAACAAGATATCTATACACAGCCAAAAGACTGACAATTGAAGAAGCTTGCGCACGGAGGGTGATAATATGAGGCCGTTTCTCTAATGACCAGACCCCTGACCAGAAGGCAAAATCCATCCTTGGAAACCTCAACTCGCCGAAAACACGTAACTCATGTAGCTCAACATGGCTGGTCTCAAAAAATAAGAAACGGGTGCTGAGACTAGTTGTGGGGTTTATTCACTCATCAGTAGTTATGGACTGAATTGTACAAATACAGAAAATCCAGTCCAATGACAAGCTGGTGAAGGGAGTGGCACCAGATACACCCGTCCACACAAAGTTGACACCATGTTCCCCTAAGGGATGGCAAAGAGATAGTGAACTTTTAAAGAAGGCTGTGGTCAACATCACGCGCCTTTCTACCCCTGCTGACCATCTGAACGTCCACAGACCCATCTTCGAAATATCCTCTGTCCCTCTAGTCTGCAGCTCCCTGAATACAAGCTTCTGCAGTGGGGAGAACGATGAGCCTGCTCTCACTGCCGACCGAAGCTTCGTCGAACCCGTTTGCATAAACAGCAAACAAACTCACCAAAAGTTTGCAAGCAGGAGGTGCACTAAGCAGGAGAAGTTGCAACCTGCGAAAAGGGTAATTCTAGGGAGTCCACCGCTTCCCATTCTTCAGGTTGCTCCGTCTCTACGAGCAAAGCCCCTAAACAGCGATCCCACTTCCCTACTCTTCCTGTAGGACATGCCATTCTTCTACAAAATCCTAAGCCACTGCCTTCGACAATATCCCACTGATT